AACTTTAAAGCCAATCCTGTAAATAACAGCTAGATATTAGTCATGGTAAAGAGCTTAATGAGGTTCGGATGAAGTTTTCCTGAGGTGTCCAAACTAAAATTAGATGTGCAATAGATATACATTGGAGCTACTAATCAATCCGAGCTGGATTCAGGCCGCCCTAAGTACATGGGCTGGGTATGGATACAAATTCTGCGACGTGCCCGAGCCAACCCTCTTCTGGCTTGATAGCAGTTGAATCAGTGTACGGGTACAAGTCGAGAAAGGCTCGCTGGTGTGCTATGTGGTTGAGCCTGATTTTTGGCCTAGGCCCTGTGGGATTTGCTTAAACAAAAATATTTTAGCGCCAGACTTTGCTTCATAAAATTTTGGATAATTCAGCAATCAAGCCCAAGCCCAGTTGCTTATTAGCATTGTTTTCAACTCATCAGGCAATCCAGATCAAGCTAAGATGATACAGCCTCCCTATTTTATTTGACTCCAATTTTTTCCAATTGAGATAAAGTAGTAGGAAACTTGGTCCAAATAAAAAAAATTGGGGCCCAATACTGAGTCAAGATAGTCCAAAACTGAAAAACTTTAATCTTTGGGGTACCCTACAAAAGTCACTCAATAATGTAGGGGCTCTAGTCAACCCCTTTTTGCAATGTATTGGATCCATAATGGACCATTTACAAAACAAAAAGGGACTGGTGCTTGTTGGATCCAACACTTGGACATGGTGCTAGAAAGACCAAAGGCGCCATCTGGTTCTATCTATTTGGACTAAAAGAAGTTTATCTTTTAGTATGGTTGACCCTTGAACAAAGAAACTACATGGGAACCCAATCCTGCGTATACAACTATTTAGCTTCAGGGATTAAAAATTCGATGTTTTAGAACCGTCCGAATCGGCTCGAGATTTGGCACCACGAGATTTAGGTTCAAGGAACCTTAGGATAGGCCAGGAATAGGTTTAAGGCATAGGTAGTTAGGGTAGTCAGTGCCACAAAATGACGTCTTAAGTCTTATTATTTTTTTTTTTTGAGAAGAAGACTATTTTTCTATTGAACTATTAAAAAAAAAAAAAAACTAGAATCGGCCACATTCTACTAGTTTTTAGCTTTTTTTTAAATTTTTTTTGCAATAATTTTTTTGTGAAGTATGGCTAGATTCGATTCTGGAATCTCCTTAGTCGGATCTAGCTAATTAGAATAGGCCGCCTAGCGAGTGGAAGCCCAATTGGATTTTGTAAACACTATTTCGAATTGGTCCATCTTGAATTAGATACTATTTTGACTTGTTGAGTACGTGATCCTTTAAGAGCCCTTAAAATATAACTCGATCACAAAGTAGTACTAATTTTAGGGCAATTATTGCTTTTGGCTATTGTATTAAACCTAAAATTTTGTTTACCATAATAGAGAGACTTCAAGAAAATGGAATAATTAAGTTAATAAAACCATAAAACTTACCAAAGACGAGAAAATTGGGTGAATAAAATAGAGGTGAATTTGTTGCATATGCGTCAAAACACCTATCGTAATCTTGCATTCTCTTCATCTTATCCTACAATATTTTACTACAATCAGATTGAGCAACCATGTGGCCTTGGAGTTTATAAGGAAATAAGGTTCATTGAAGCTTCCTTTAGGGGCTATTTCCAAAGCCTTTTAGCTTCTTTTTCACGTTTGTGGATGTTTCATTTATTAAATGTTGTAGTTATAATCATATGCAATAAATAAAAGATTATTAGAAACTTTTTTATGCACTAATGTTTTTTATTTATTCTTAGTTTTTTTGGGGTGTACCTTTGCTGGGGCAACAAGCGGCCAAAAACATTGGAGAGAGAGAGAGCTTTAGAGAGAGAGGGCCAAAAAATTCCATGTTTTAAGGCGGGTTGTAGGCTTAAAATTGAATTATAAATTATAATGTGGCTTAGAAACAAAGAGGCCCAACTTGACCCAAATCGTACGATAACACAAAAAAAAAATGTATTATATTTTTACATGGAATTTGCCGGCGTGCTTTTCGCAAGAGAGATATCTCCTTAGACTTACCAAACATAAAATATTTGGACACTCTACTCATTTCTTGCTTGTCGCTTATGCACAAAAGAGAGCAATGTCTGATCCCCCAAGGTTTATTAACATGAGAGAGAGAAAGAGTAATTTTAGGGAGAGAGAGAGTGTAACTTTCAAGAGAGAGTGGGTTTCCACTACAATCAGTGTTCTCAAACTCGGCTGGATCAACTTGGAATGTGCTGGTCATATGGGCACTTGTTAATCTGGCTTCGGTCAGTTTTGGTAATCTGGTAGGGTATTTAAAAAAAAAAAAATTAAATAAAAATTCTCGAAAAATAAAATATTTGTTTGTAATATATTTTTGATTGTTTTTTTTATCATTTCGACAAAAATTGGAAAGTGTTTTAGTGATATATATATATATATATATAGGTGAAATGCTATAGTGTCTCGCCTCCATCACGGACTAACTATATCCATGACGGTTTATTGAACGGATCCGCAAGATTTCATGTAAATTTTTAGACCGCCACGAACCTAGCATGTCTGTGGCGGTCAAAAAACATATACCATCCAATTTTTTTGGATGGTGATTGGCCTATGGGTGAAATCACTATAGCATTTCACCCACAGGTGTCGCGTAAATGCTTATGTATGTATGTATTTCTTTTTTAAAATTTTTGAAAATAGCCCTAGGCACAAATGGGTTTTTTGAAATCCATTTTTTTTTTTTACTTTTCAATTTTTTTAAGCCTTTTTGAACCGACTAGGCCTATCTAATAGGCCTGAAGTTGGTGGTTACTTGGATTGAGGCATTGGCTGGTTTTCGAGGCTGGTTCAATTTTTCGAACATGTTAAATGGAGGGACAACTAGCGTAGGAAAAATCGGGCAGTTAGAATTCTAATGCTTGCTCGGTTCCGGTTTTGGTTAGTTTTGGTGAACCAGTCAAATAAAAATAATTCAAAACAATTATATAAAATCTATGCTTTTACATTTTTCATTCTTTTTGAAAAATTTCAAAAATATCTTTGGGCACAAATTGATTATTTAAAATCTATACTTTTCATTAATTTTCAACTTCATTTGAATGCGTTTTGTTTAAGGAAAATTTTCGTTAAAAAGTTTTTGGATTGAAATGATATAAAAATATTTATTATGGCTAATTTTTATAATCAAATGTCAATAGAAAAGAGAGATATGGGATGACGGGGTATGATGAAATCTTTAACGATTTTTTTTTGCTGCTCGAAAGGAAAACGGAAAGAAGATGTATTATGAAATAATACGAGAAATTAAGATATGAAATTTTTTTTTATTTAATTATGCTTTAAATATATTTTTTGTATTTTATTTATTTTTTTGTATTTTTTCATTTTTTTAAATATTTTTTTCATTGTTTGGAACTTATCCGGTGAAACCGGCTGGTTTAGATCTACTGTAGTAGACATTATATTCTAGAGAGAGTGAAAGAGGGTTGGGTAACTTTTTAGAGAGAATGTGAGAGAAAATAAGTGATATATATGTTTCATAAATTTTTGGAGAGAAAATGAAAGAGGGTCGTACGATTTTTTAGAGAGAGATTCATAACCTGAGAAGATATTCATGGGGAGCGGGAGAGAGATCTTAGAGAGAGAAAGAGCTTTGTTAAAGGCGGCCGTACGCATTGACAAGTATGGACACAGAGAGTAGGAAAGCATGTACGTAACCCAACAAATGACAAAGCTGAAAGACGGGAACCCAACGCCAACGCACAAAAGCAGGGGGTCGCTCCCCGCGTCCGCGTGCGCCTTCGGTTCTGTATTTACTAGGCTGAAGAAGGTGAGAGAGAGAGAACTCCAAGATATTCTAGAGAGAGAAAGAGAAGCCTTTAATCCGAAAGGAAAATATTTTGATAGGTCCGTGGCCTTGTCAAAATGAGTAAAATCTAATTTCAAAATTATAATTTTGGAGTAAAAACCTTCAAATCAATCAGGTTGCATCCACTGTTATGGTTGTAAAAAAAAAAACGGATTTTCAATCTTAAAAATAGTATATATTATAACAAATTATCTACACCGTTCGTTTCACTCGAAAAATAAATTTTCATAGATCTAAAAAATCTGAACCTTTTTTTATGTTTAAAATTTTCTAATGGGTGTTGAAAATTGATTTTAGAGCTATATTGAAGATTTCTATGTCTATAAAGTAATGTTTTAGGGAGAATTTGTTTCAATAAAGCGGAGGTCTTACAAAAACTGCATCCGTATTTTTTTAATTAGCACGTAGAGAAAAAAGAGAGAGGAAGAGGAAAAGAGATGGACACATTTAGCGAGAAAGCGTAGAGAGAGAGAGTCACAATAAGAGAGAGAAGAGTCCAATTTTTTAACACAAGTAGCGGTGAAATTCGAGGGGGTGGGGGGAGAGACCCATTTATAGAGAGAGAAAAGTCGATGTGAGAAGGTGTTAGAGAGGGAGAGAGAGAAGTGCCTAATTTTTAAAGAAAGTAGAGAGAGAAAGAGAGAGGAGAGAGGCCCCATTTAAAAAGGCCATGTGGAGACCATGTGAGATTTGAGCAAAGCCAACGCCTCAAAGGTTTTGAATAAGGGAGGGCCCACCAGGATCAGCATGTTTTCCGGATCCTGCCAATCGACTCCAAGATTTTTAGGGTTCAACAAAGTACACCTCTCTTTGTTTTGATACACAAATCGCTTCTCTCTCTCTCTCTCTACATTTCTCTCTCTATCTTTCTGATTCATAGGGAGAATGTTATAATTGTTATGAATCTCTTTCTCTCTCTCTAAAACTTTGGCTCGGTGGGTCACGACCACCATGTGCATGCATGTGACATGTCTGTCCCCTCGTTGGGTCCACCACCCCCCTCCCACTTTGGGCTAATTAAAATCACTTCTTATTCTCTCTCTACCACTTTCTCTCTCTACTCTCTACACATTTCCCTCATTCATTCTCTCTCTCTCTCTCTAAGTCTCTATTATATTAGCCACTCATTCCCCACACCCATCCCCCCTCTCTCTCTCCTCATCTCTCACCCCGTTTTCTCTCTCTCTCTCTTTCTTAAATTAGTTCGCAACACATCCTCTGCAGTCTCACGAGCCCCCAACTTTTGCTCTCTCTCTCTCTCTAACTTGTGTATCTCTCTGTGCACTCTGCAACCTGCCGGGCCTTGAATGCCGTTCCCTCACGTACTTGTTTAACATGTAAGAAAGAAAGAATACCTTGATTTTCCTCCCTCGTTCTGTGACCACTTCTCTTAAGATATTGGAGAATTCAGCAAGCTTCTGCTAAGAAAATTAGAAGAGAAGATTTTGCAGGTATCTTACAGGAAAACCCAAATTCCAATGCCCCTCTTTCCTCCATTTCTCTTCCAAAATTCAGAGAGAGAAAGAGAGAAGAGAGAGAAAAGTTGCATGTGAGATAAAGATTCTATTGAAATTATACATTCCAACCTTTTGACCAATTTCATCCCTCTCTCTCTCTTTAAATTCTGATTGCTTGGTGTTGCCTTACTTGCAACTCCTGCAGAATTTGTTTTCACAGAGCCATGCAAGAAACTCCAAAGTCTTTCAGGCATGAGTTCTTAAGGCAACTTCTCCTAGGCCTAAAGCACAGCAGCTCAAGAGCTCAAGAGATGAGCCTTTTAGAGAGAAAAAAGGCCATCAAATTGGCAGCTGATACAGCTTTAGCCATGGCGTCGGATGGCTCTCACTGGAGCCGAGCCCTGATCTCGAATCTCTCGAAACTAGACGGGAGCCAATCTCTCATCAAAACCATGATGGGTGATGAAGCTTTTCAAAAAATAAAGAAACCCATCAATGGTGCTTCTGCATTTTGCCGAAAGCTCGGAGCCAGAAGGGTTCTGAAGGGGTATACAATGAGGATGAGAGAGAAAAAGAGAGTCCCTCCTTGTGTTTCGGCTCAAGCCTTAGCCAAGAAGCTTGTTAAAAGGAGGACTGAGAAGTTGAAGTGCTTAATACCAGGTGGTGAATTCATGGATAGATATTCACTTTTAGTGGAGGCCTCAGATTACATTCTCTCTCTAAAAGCTCAGGTAGATGTGATGCAACGCCTTGCCAATGTTTTGGCTTGCAAGGACATCCAACTTAACGAGTAAGTGCTTCAAAAGTTAAGGGGGGGCTTCATTTTCTCTCTCTAAAAGTTTATCTTTCTCTATCTAAATGTGAAGAGAATGGGCAGCAAGTGATGCACGCCTGTACAGAAGAGATGAGAGGGCTCAACACGCTCTCTCTCTCTCTCTCTATCTATCTCTCTCTCTCTTTCTCTCTCTATCTCTACTTCTTTTCGGTTATGTTATTTTTTTTTCTCCTCTGAATTTTGGTTCTGATGAGAGTGTCAAATCTATTGGTATCCTTATACTTTCAAGCTCTTTCTTCTTTTCTTATAAGTCATTTGAATGCATTACTACATCAATGGTTATGAATCGACATGAAAGAAAGTATGCAGAATTGAAACAAGAGAGCGAGAGAGAGAGAGAGAGAGAGAGAGAGAGAGAGAGCTTAGCTATGAGATGGCCACATGAGTGAGAGAGAGAGAGCTATAGTTATGAGATGGTCACATGACAGTGAGAGAGAGAGAGAGAGAGAGCACATGTGGGAGATGGCTTCCTTGAGCTGATGAAACTTTTCCAAATTCCTTTTACGGTTATTCATAAGAAAATCAGGGGATAAAATATAGACACCAATTCCTATGCATAGATTTCTATGGTCATACTTGTCCTTTACAAGTAAACCATTGTGACTTATAACATCACATGGCCTGTGTACCACCCTTACTAAAGCACACACCCACTTTTTTAACTTGGAATCTTGGTTTTATACTCTAATAAAAGCAAAGCATTTGCCTATCTAATTGTCTTTGCACCTTTCCCAAGTTTTGGTTTTGAGTCTCAAAGAACTATAGTGTCTTATGTCTTAGAAATCACATCTTATGCCTTAGAAATCACATACATTAAATGTTTAGTTCACTTTCATATGCTCTTTTCTTGAGTTTTCCTTTAATTTCAATGTTTAATTGGGATTGTACATTATGAGATCGCAAGGAGGTCAGTTTTTTTTAGCTAGGGGATGTGAAATCTGACAGCTCAAAATGTATGAGAGTTTTGAGAAATTATATTTGGACCTTGTGCCTAATCAATGACACACATCTAATCACCTGATTTCATATCTATTTGATAATGATTGTGGCTTTCTTATATAAAAATAAATGGTTATATTGTGTATATTTCCTTTTAATTAACTCAAAGTATAATCTATCATTTAAGCCATACTTTCAATTTCTACCAAGTTGAGGAATATAAGAGAAAATAAACCTAAGTAAGAAACAAAAAGGCGAAGTGAATGTTTTAGTGCTCAAATTCTAAGATTTATATAGAATCAAACACATATAGTTTACATGAGGTTTTAAGGGATTCGCTAGAGAATATATATTGTGATAGTTAAACTTTTCCAAGAACTTTCTATATCTTAAGGGGATTAGAGATATTACTAAGTGCTATTTCTCTCATTAAGGTGTGTGTGACATTCCAAGCTTCCAACTGATGTGGCTGCTTTCGTCTTGGCTTTACCTGATGAAAGTCTCACTGTTGATATAAAGCTGAGGATTCAGATTGTGAGCGCATATCTCCTTGTGCTATAAAAATCCTAAATCTACTGAAAATACAATCGTTTGTAGTTTACTGTCTCATTTTTTGTAAATGTCATTCCTCATATAATCATCTTCTACATTTGGAGACCCTTTTGTCATGCCTATGAAATGGATTGAATGTAACTCCCTAGAGGCTTAAAACAGTTGAAATTTTGCTTGATGTAACCCTCCAGTTAGGCAGAATACAAGGTTTCCCCTTACATTAGAGATGAATGCCAATCCATTTTGAGATATTTATTTCTTAAATTAGAATGTTTGTCCAGACATCTATGATATGATATAAGCTAATTTTAATGAATGTGATTAAAGAGGCCAAATCAAGGGAAAGTGAATGGAAATAAGGTCCCACAAACACTTAATCATCATGTTATCTGGACTCCACCCTCCCTTTGGTCACATCAAAGCTAATTTTAACTTAATTGGCAAAGACAACCTAGGTAAAGCAGGTTGTTTCATAGCATGTGACTAACATGGAACTGTGATTAGTACTATGAATTGAAATTCAGTGAGGCTGAGGATTTTTTCTTGGCTATGATGAATAGTAGATATTTTAAAAAAGGGACTTTTTCATGCGGCCAAACCTAGTCATTGTTCACCACAGAAACTAAGGGCAATAACAGTGTAGGAATCGCAACCTGATTCAGTAGTTCCGTGATAAGATTCGAACTCGGGACATAGTGTTGCAACCAAATTAACCAGTAGAATAGATTTGACATCTTGAAAGATGGACAATGATACTTGTGACTCTCTAGTCTCTAGTCTTTAGACTAGACCCTTTAATCCTCTTTATGCTTATCCATAAACCCCCTTTTCACTAAATAATAATGTGGTCTGTGGTATAAGTCTTTAAGCTTCATGGAGACGTCACTAAAAGGAAGAAATAAGTAGGAATCTGAATATTTGTTTTGGATGTATTGAAAAATAAACTAAGGTTATAGGATTATGTTGTGTAATATCAAACAAAAATAGAGTTTCAAAAAAAGAAAGAACTAAACAATTCGAATGAAAATTTAAACTTCTAATGACCTTTGGTTTAACCATGAAATCTGGGAAATAACATTGTAAAATAACTCGAAAACTGCTCATGCCCTTCCTTTATAACCTCTTTATACTACCCAAACTCTAATTAATGAGCAATCCTACTCGAAATAAAACTTCTAGTCATCAGTGAACAAGTTTGCCCTTGATACGAAAACAAACTTTATCCTTAAAAAATACAACTCCATCCAAGTATGGACCAAATTCTCTTCAATAAATTTTGTGGGATACAGAATATTGAAAAATAGAGACCATGAACCCCAATATATAAGAGAAAGAAAGAAGAAAAAAACAAGTTGAGACGTTTTAGATTGTGCTTTACTTCCAAAATTTAAGAGCTTCAGCACATTTGCATTATCTAATTAAATGGCTGCATTTAGTTCATCTTATGTTTTTATTCTATCATCCCAAATCCCAAAGGAGGCACGGGCCGACCCCAAATAGTTGAGAAAAACTCTAATGATGATTATGAGGAAGACACAATAGCATTAGTGCTCCCCTCGTTAGGCTATAACAAGCTATATTCATCTATTTATTGGCATGTATAGCACGCTCATGTATTAGGCTTTCAGCAAACTACTTTGGTTTGGCTTTCAACACAACTATAGATCTAAAGAACCCTATGCTATAAAGGGCTACCTTAGCGAACTATTCAAGATTCAAGGGCTAACGTTCATGCTAGTTACTTGATCCACTAGGATCAGGTCAGACATCGTGATTCGGTAAAGGTTCGCCCGATTGTAACGGGCACACTTTACACTTACTCCTTGGGCAAAAGAGTTACTTTAGAGGAATTTGTTCCATCTGAAATTTTGCGATCCACTTTAGAATCATTTGATGAGTATTTTCAGTTTCTAAATACTTGGATCAAACTGTCAAAAAATTGACGGTTTCTGTTTAACCTAAAATGTTAATTTTTTTTTAGGCACTCGCAGAGTGCTTTTTTAATCAATTTTCAAAAGGTTGTTCTCTATGTTGAGGAGATTACATCCCCAAATTTGGGTTTCTAAAAGTACTCGTAGATAAGTTTGATCCAAGGGACTGAATGGACGACATGCTCTTGTGGGATCATATGATCTTTTGACTTAATTAATGTAATCTTTTGAAGACATGTTTGAGAAGTAACCCTCTTAAACCTTTTGTTTGTTGGGTAAGCATCCAGGTTTTCTTTTGGAGTAATGGGTAAGTATCCATGATCTTAAGTACTGAATCTTTTGATGCACATGTTTCTTCTGAAACTCCTGCATATCTTCTTTTTCTTCAGCTTTTTTATTTGCTATTAAGCCAGGTCCAATTCCACAACCTCAAGCTTGCAACATAAGCACCTTCTATCGAGCCATGGGCTTGAACCCAAACCTTGAGGAAAATGTCATTAAGCTTAAGACCATGTCCAAATAACTTTTGTATAACTGCATTAAAAGGGTTAGCTATGTTGGCTAGGTCCTAATTAGACCTTGACTCGAGCAGACGTCAGCCTAGGTCCAGATCTATATATAAAAAATATAAATTAGCAATACATATTCATAATTTATGAATACAAAATATTAATTATGTGTATATGTGTTTTAGGCCTGGCTGTCCCTCCTACTGGTGACCCAGACCTATATGGATTGGGTCTAGACCAAATGGACCCGATCTTGACCTGTGGGCTCAACACCCAAATCTACACCCATAACTTGGTCGACTCGAATGTGTCAATCCATCGGCCTGACCCATTTGGCAGCCTTAGATTTCAAGCAATTATGACTTTTCAAAGGTCATCTAGCCCATCTTGATAATACTTTCAAAATTGTATATTCAAGTTTGGGGTTCACTAAGATGAACACAACAAATTCCAAGGACTTCTTGTTAGGATTTAAGCATTCACTTCGATGCAGAAATGTGAATCCCAAATGTTGGATCCCACCAAGATCATGTATTTATCCAGTTCGAAACAAAATAGGAGAGAGTACGAGCCATAATATAAGAAATAAAGAATGAAACAACCACACCACAAGTACACAAAGATTTATGTGATTCACCCCAAGAGGGCTACATCCATAGGCATGACAAACTGAAATCCATCATTCCAATGAAAGTTACATCATAGATTTTGGGATATAGGGTTACCTCTCTAATCCTTGACAAAACCCAGTTGAGCAAACCCCTTTAGACCCGTTCTCTTGACCGGCACTACTCGCCGATCTCACATATCTATTCCATAGTTAAACCATTGTCCAGGAAGAAACTCATTTCTATTCCACAGCTAAACCACTGTCTAAGAAGAGACCCATCTCTATATTACAACTAAACCGTTGTCCAAGAATAGTCCTTGAGAGCAATTGTGACTTTCTCTAATTAAAAGGGGAAACCACCCAAAATCTTCATGGGAACCACTTCTCTATAAGAAACCAGCCTCTCAATCTAGAAGAAACATATCGTAGTGTTTATCTGATGTTTCTTTCCATAGGAAACTCTTTTCTCTCTAAAGGGATGCCTTACCTCTGATGTAGAGGAGGCCCTACCACTCTCTTTAGAGAAAATCACCTTTCTCATATGGTGACCAAAATATGGCACACATATTCTTTTATTTTTCATCCCATATATATAAGATCAAAAGTCTACACTAAATAAGAAACTTCATATAATTATTACATATATCTCAAGAATCAAGAGATATATCCCAGAGTCCTAATCTTTTTGGATTTCTATTTCCTTTAGAAAACTTACAAATGTCAATCTCAATCCCACGTAATATGAGATTTTTTAGTGTGAGTGATTTTTGAATATCACCATATTCAACTCTTTTTTCCTCTTTTCCCTTCTCATGAAGAGCATGAGCTTCTCTTGCATAGTACGTAACAGCTCTTTAGTCCACAAATACTTTGATATTATTTAATATTTTACTAAAATCATAAATTTTATGCCCTATGCTTTGAAAATTCCTTATGCCTTATGGAACTATGTAGGAACCACACCGATCCAGTAGAGAACAAATTGCAAGTAGCTTTGCGTGCTGCATTTTGGTTAACGTTATTCATCACAATGATACAGGAGCTGCACATCCCCAAAGGCTTGTAGGGTTAGTGGTTTTTCTACAGGGTTCATGTCTTTTAAGATCCATACCTGCAATTTTATGGTTCAATGCAAGTTAAACGAAATAAAAGGCATCCAGACATTAATAGTTCTAGAACTCAAGATGTCATGTTGTGGCACTTATCACGCTGATCACCTATAACTTAAAGTCCATTTTTAAAGGTAATTTAGTAGTGTAATTAATCTCAAGATAATCCTCAGGTTCTTAAGGTGGTAGGATACCAAATATGATGTCTGTTTCATTCCCATCAAGGTCCCAAGCTAACATTAAGAAGAAAAATGTTAATACTATGTTCAAGCAAAATTCTTACATGACGGATCACATGCGCTTCCACCCCAAGACATTTCCCCTTTTAAGATCCTTGAATAGCATTTAAAAAGGAGCAATCTATGATATGACATGGTATAAGAAGGTTAATAATATATTATGAAAAAAATTATCTTTAGTATAAGAAGGTCACGATCACCTTTAGTCATTAGATATAATATAAATTGTATCAAAATTAGATATAATATTAGTTTGAAAATTAACCTTTAGTCATTAGATATAATATAAATTGTATCAAAATTAGATATAATATTAGTTTGAAAATTAAAAAGTTAAAAACTTTGTCGTACTTTACAACACTTTTCTAACTTATCGATTTCATATTTGACAATTACAAATGATTGTGATATTTAATCTATTTAGGTAATAAAAAACTTCAATAGAGTCTTTGGTACTTACTCCAACATTTATCTTACCACTAAGAAATACAAGAGGATAGATACAAACTTGAGCAACTAGTTTCCCGGAGCAACAGTTCTCTAAGTGCATGACCTTTCGCCTTTAAATCCATGGTGTAGCATTTACAGAAGAAGCAATATATGATAAGTCCTCTTACAACAAGGTGAACAATAGTAATAAGGCCATCTATCTCCAGTACAAAAGATATTTGGTAATTAGATAAAAACTCTAGCAACTAAACTTAAAATTTGAAGAGCTTTTTTTTATTTCATGATATCTCTTTAACCACTTAATTCTATATTTGACAATTAAAATTGACTGCGAAATTTAAATTTTTTTTTTTAGAATAAAAATTTTAAATAGAACCTTTTGACATTTAGTACAACATTGTTGCACCAATAAATGTAGGGCGGATGAAAAGTTGAGCACTCTTCAAAGCACTAGCATCTAGGTTCTTGAGCTTTTCAAGATCTACAACTGTGTCAAGTTGACTATGCAATTATGGAGTGCAATATGTACGACTCCACAACTATCAAATCTGCTTTTTTATATTAAAATCCTAGAAATATATTATATAGCATCTTGGTTGTTAGGTCTAGTAACACCATAGGCTGTTTTGTAGTATAGGACTCAATAAAATTGATGCCATGAAGGACACAGGCTACTAAGATAGAATGCAAATGATGGGTCTAACTCGGGAATGACCTTTTTATTTGCACTGCCTAACTTCAAACGTGGCTACTTTCATTTGATGTAAACCGGTCCAAGAACAAAAGGCACTGGGCAGCTATGCCTTAGGATAAAGTTCATCACTATTTGTCGAAACATTTTTTCTGAGGGTTATAGTTTTAAAATAAATTTTTATTTTTGCTTATAAAATTTAATGTTTCAAAACTAGTGTAGGTCAACATATCTATGAGAATTTTAAAATATTGAAAATAGACGATCACAAAATGTGTTACAAAATATATTATTTTTATAATTTTAAATCTATTTTTTTTTCATGCTCATATATATTGATGTCGAGATGATCAATTTGAAGATATTTGAGCATTAAAACAACTCTTCTAATAAATTTTTTGAGATTGACTCTAATTTGATTGTTTAGAGACAGCTTTATATAAACTTTTTCTTTTTTCTAAAGGATGAAGTTTCTACAAGGCTTAGGTTCTATGAAAACCAAATAAAGCATTTTCTTAAATCCTATTCACGAAAGCACTTTTAGCCACGTCATGATGGCTTTAAAATCAATTTACAGCTCTAAAATCAATTTACAACATTGATAATAAAATTTGAAACTCAAAAAATCATGTAGCTCTTGTGGATATTTGAACACTCTTTTTTAGGACGAAATGGACGGTCTAGTTAATTTGTTAAAACACAATATTTTACAATTTAAAATCCTAATTTTTACAACCATAATAATTTTCGATGAGACTTTAGTAGAGGCTTTAATTTTCTATCAAACCATTTTCTTTTTTTAAAAGATCGATCATAAATTTGAAATTTGCTACCCCACAGGCCCACTCTGATGCCTCTTTTGAAAGTTGACGCAATTTGGAGAGTGATTTCATTGACCTGCACATCACAGCGGTTCTAAAATACGTCAGGCCCACACTGGGGCCTTTTTTTGAAAGGTGCTGCACGTTTGTGGTGTAGATTGAGAGAGAGAGAGAGAGAGAGAGAGAGAGAGAGAGATTTCATTGACGTGATAGCAGCGGTTCTAAAATAAATCCGATCTTTTACTTTTAACAGGTTAGCACCACAGGGCACAATCACCTCTTGGATCTGAAATCTAGATTACACTCAAAAGTTTAATTTTCTCTTGGAACTTCTTTCACACCCCTAATTTCAAATTAGGTTTAGAGTTGATTGTTACTTCAAATTACACTTAAAGTTGTTTGTGACTTCAAATTATTGTAACCTTATTGTATCAAGTTGATCGTGACATTCTTGTATCATATGTATTTTCCGTTACATGCTTTGCTGAACAAGTATTTGTGCTCTTTAAATAAGAGCAATAATGCGCATTTTATGCTTCTGGTGGAGCATTACTATCCACTTAATTCCTCAGATCTACTTAAACATTACCAAATAATTATTTTCAAAAATCAAATTTAGATTTTGAGTCGCTTAGCACTTAATTTGTCTGAAAATTCAATAGCTTACTCTCAATATTTGGATGTCACCCTTTTCAAACCCCATAAAGTGCTTTTTACTTTTTATTTTTACATTTATTATTTTTAATGGATACCAATAGACAATAAGATGAGAGAAAGTAGATTTACTTTTAACAAGCTGTATTCTCTTCAATCTAGTTACCGATTAAAAATCATCATCATCATCATAACCATTTTCCAATTAATTGAGATCCGTTATACTAACTCTGATATACCATTTTGATCTATTAAAGATCATACTTTCAGTAAGACCAAAAATCCAAACTACTTCCACTCATGTCCTTTTGAGTCTACTCCTTACCCTTTTTAATCTTTCGACTTGAACTGACACACTTCTCCTCACAGGTGCTCTACTAAGTTTGCTTGAATGGTGATGGACTACTTAATGTTCCCATTGAATGCTATTCATAAATACAAATTTGAATGGAGTACGCTCCATAAATCAAGGGGAGAAAATATTTTGCTTTTCTTAACATTCGGTTTTAGAATCACAGGATGATACAGAATTTGAAACGGAAGAACTACAAAGAAATGAGTTCAGGCACAATCCAAGTACAATTCAATAATCCATGTTTAACTTTACATTGAGTCACAAGAGGATTAGTTGATATCCGGAGCCTTTTATTGCTCAATCATTTCACCAACACCCTTTGAATCTGCAGGGTTGAAACTTGCTTCTCTGAAATCATGAAAACGGGGCGATTCAGCACATTGAAAATGCCATCTGTTCATGTAAATATTAATCAAATGATGTAGAACGAGCTTCAATTTATCAATAAAGAGACAAATTTGCTACATGTCAAGAATGATTCCTACCACTGAACTACCACAAAATAAATAAATAAGTTAATAAAGAAAAAAAAACATTAATAGTGCTAGAAAATTCAAATTATTTTGGATAGATATCATAATTCATCGTGGATCCCAGTGCTACATAACTTTCCATATAAAATGTAGAAATCAAATAACTATGCGTTCTGTGGACTGAAGCCCATGATCTCCACCAAATAACCTGGTTAGTTCAGCCAAAATTTCAAATTATTTTTCCCTAACTTGGAATCTCTAGCCTGAGGACCTTACACCCAAACTTTATCCAAAGACTGACAAGTTAAACTTCACTAAAGAACAGGGTTTGGCCTGACCTTGGTTATAACTCATAAATGTGGAAATTTTAAACCCTAGGAGATGCAGAAAACTCGACAAACATAGAGTTTCCTCGATAATGAAAGATGTACTTTAGATGGAAATGTCACTTTTGGGGTCCTTCAATGACAGGGCCTAGATTAGAGGACCATTTCTTCTGGTGAGCTGATTTTCTATCCGTTAGTATACCTTTCAAATTGGCCAATGATCGTGCTATCAGATTCAGATGAAGGAGAAGAATGTTGGTGCATTATGTGCTTCACCACATCAAGACTTTCCTTGGGCGGAACTTGATAGTTGGTTTCTAAGTGGCAGTGCTTGGGAATGTCTGTCTAGGGCCCAATTGAGGGGGTGTTGGGTAAGTAGTTTTTTTTTCTTTGCAAGTTTATTGATGATGATGAAGTTTCCGAGAAGTTATAAAGGAACCCACTCTTTCGATGTACCGAAGAAGTCCTGAAATTTAAAAGAATACAGGAATGAAGAAAAGCCCAGAACTTTAGACCCAAAACTCATAACTATATGCTAGGACAATACTGAAACATTGGGTTGTTCTATTTTAGTGGCATTTTAGGAATGTGCAAAGAAAGAAACATACATCCAAATCTCGCCCAACACTTATTATTGTCATAATTTGATCTAAGTGACAGCACCTAACTCTCTGTACAAGCCCAACTAGTTTGCAAGGAATCCAATGAGCCGCTCACTGCTTGACTTAAATATAGCTTTGTAGATGAGGAGATCTTACCGAAGTGCAACCATGTTTGACTCGCCAGTACATAACATAGTCAACAAAATAATTCAATAATTTGTTAGATGATTAACATGGCATCCCCCAACGAAAGTGTAACAACCAGTAAACAATGAAGAAAGACGTGTGTATTTTCGAATGGTCTTTAACTCACAAGTAGTCTAGTACCTAGACCACTACATGTCCTGATCACTCAAAATGATCAATATCTAACAATTCATTAACCCAAGTTAGTTCATAGAAACCATGGAACTTATGAGATTAAGGGGCATCAAGTCTTGCAGAGGCATTAAGCACCCCCAACGGAAATGAAGTACAAAATTAAATAAATGAAAATGTGCAAAATATAGACTCATTTACTGAATGGTGCCTATAGGATTAACACTTCAACCAAGCTGAAGACCAAGAAATATTGATTAAACTGATATCCAACGTTTCAATTAATTAATACTTCTTTTTTAACGCGATTTTTCCACTATCCTCCTCCTTTAGTTCTTGTTCCTCATCCATTTTTTATCGCGATTTTTTCCACTATCAAAGCTTCAACCATATTCCTCATCCACTCCAAGGATTCCTTGCCTAGTAGTTTGAATTGAAGTTGTAGTTTATATTAAGCAGGTCTAGTGTCAAAATGAACTTACAAGGATATGGTTCAATTTACTCTGATGGGGCTGGAAACAGTTCTATTCTCATGCTCTGTCCATGATCAAGATGGTTGGTGAACCTCCACACAATTTTCTTTCCCAAATTATCATCACCCTGATGGCACCCTTTGAAGCAGGGGATATATGATTTGTGAAAAATAGAAAAGTACAGAGTAGGATGGTATACTAGAACTTTTTAGAGAAGCATCTTGCAAATCGTTGTTCAGTGTACATTATTATGAATGTGAAACAATCAAGAAGACATATTTACAACTTAGCAGCATATAACTTTTATTATCATCTATGGTGATTGTAAATTAGGAATCAAAATCACGTAATTTAACCAGGTCTCAAGGGATAGATCTCTTCCAATTGTGAACAAACATCTAGCAAACGAAACCCCATCAACACAAATCATATCTTCTTTAATGTCACCCTGATAGCCAGGAGCAGGAGCACCTATGATTCAAAAAGGGATCAGGCCTCTGAGGTTCATCTCATGACATTAATCACATTCTTATGACAAGTTAGAGATGTCGTTCCTTCGAAAACTAGCCATGGTTCTCTCTCTCTTCAAGGATATATGGTTTCCTAACAATTCATCATATGCTCTAAACCTATCAGAAGAACTACAACCACGCTGACAATTCATATCACTTCAATCCAAGCTTGATATGGACCAAGATGTTAGAATCATGAATTAACAGTCCAAAGACGGAGTTGAGAATTTACAGAGCTAATGAATTCAGCTACGTTAGAAATTTCGCTCAGAGGAGGTTGTTAAATTTAGGAAGCAACCCAAACTCTCAGTGTCCCCTAGAGAAAGTAGGACGAGTGATTGTTCCCTAGTAGAACATCTCAAGACAGTCGATAATTAGTTTGTATTGAGCCAGGTTGTTTCCCTTTTTAGAGTTTCCATTTGGCAACCTCTGAAGAGTCGCAGCAAATTGGTCATAGACAGATTCACGTATTTTGATGGCATGAGTTAGCACCTACTTCTAATGTCTAGAAAGGAGGAAATGTTGGAAATTTGTTCGCAAATTGGTCATAGATTCATACTAGTAACTTGATAATTTGAGTTAGCAGTCTCTTCTAAAGTCTAGAAAGCAATCACTTAGAAACACTTTAAGGAAAAGGGTGAAGTTTGTACAAGGTTGCCTCAAGGTGCACCAATAAAATTTACTTAGAGATGTCCTTTCGGTGTTGAAAACATTTTTATGGCATCAAAATCTCTTTATATCTTAAATTATAAAATTTAAAATCTAAAAAATGATACAGATTGAGCACATAACAGACACACTTGAAAATCGACAGTCTAAAAAACTTGTTACAAGATGCATTATTTTTTGGGACTTGAAAATATTTTTTTCCTTGGTGCCCATTCATCTCAAGGTCGAGATGAGATGATCATTTGGAGGGTTCTCCTACGCTGGAACACTCCCCACTATAGGATTTTTGAGGTGCACCTTACTTCAATTGGTTCATAGGTTCTCAGCAGTAATTTGATAATTTGAGTAAGTAGCCACTTTAATTTCTACAAGGCAAGCTTTGGGCTGGATCATTAGCATGGGAATGTGAAAAGGCTTATCATTTTTTTGGAAGTAAATACAAATTGTTCTCCTCACAAAGGAGACTCAAAAACATTCACCATGGGCTTTAGGATGCTGTAGCTATTGAGTGAAAAGATGAAGGCATCCACCGTCAAACCCGACCCCACCCCAAAATTGGAGGAATACAAAGCATTAGATTACCAGAATACTCATATAACACCAGTTTTATAATATAAATCTATATCCATGGTGATGTAATGCAGAGTGATAAAAAAATCCAAAATACAAAACAAACTAAATATTAATCAATATATTCTGGGCAAGGAGAAAGTCTCTCTTAAATGTATAAGTTAACAATCAAAATCACAACAAAACCACAAGAGAATCTCACAAACAGGGGCAAAGTACTGCACCAGTTTGAGAAATAGGGTTTTTCCCATGAATTCGATCTTCGCAAGTCGTAGAGATCAACAATGGAGCATACATGTACGAATCCGAGATCAAGTAGTCCTTCACCGCCTCCAAGAACTGCTTCTTCTTCTTCCTGATTAGCCTCTTCTGTATCCCTAACCCTAACCCTATCTCTGATCTCTTCTCCATTTTTTTTGGAGAAATGTTTACTGCTGATCTCTTCCCCATTTGTTTTTGAGAAATGTTTACTGCTGATCTCTTCTCCATTTCTCCGACCAAATAAAGGCAATCTTTTCTTTTCCTTCCTTTCCTTCCTCAAATCTCTCTCACAAACCTCCTAGAAAATACTAACAAAACACTAAATTTTACAGTGAAACTTGGATTTGGTTCTATCTCTGCTCCGAAAATGAGGAATAGGGTTTCCTCAGGTGGCCACATCACAGTCATGTGACACGCGTGTCGTGTGGTTATGAAGTTTGTGTTTAACTGCTTCATTTGTGTGCGACACGTTGGAACTTGTAACGAAGCTTAAAATTTGGAGTACTTTGGAAAAGTTTGGAATATTTTCAGTTTCAGTGTGAGGTCGATTAATTTGTAAATATTTTTCCACATCAGAACAACTTTTCTAAAAATATTTTTAGGACACGGTTTCTATGCAGCTAAGCTCGTGTATGTAGAAATACGGGCTTCTTAATAAATCTATTTTTGAGATGGATTTTTGGACTAAATTTATAGGAGACATGTAATCTCTATCATGGATAACATGAATATGAAAACATAATTGAAGTTTAAAAATTAAAAATAATAATTTTAATGTTTTTATTTATTTTTTAATAAAACACGCATCATCTTTAAGATGGATGCTTTACACTTTTTGGACCACATGTGTAATCATACGGTTCATCCTGCATGAAACAATTTTCCAAATTTTTAAGATGCAATGAAAAACATCGCTCTTCTATATATGGAAAAATCTTTTTCTCACTCTTTATTATCTATTGGATGAGGTTTACATAATGTAGAAGTTTTATGAAAACAAAATAAAGCCTCATCTGAAATCTTCGTTCAAAAAGCACTTTCGACGGTGAAAATCTTTTTGTAAAATCAATTTTCAACATCGACAATGAAATTCAAATCTAAAAGAAATAGTACAGATCTTGCGGATCTATGATCACTTTTAAGGGGAAATGAATGGTCAAAAGAATTTGTTACAATATGAATGGTCTAGACTAGAGAATTTGTTACAATATACCCTATTTTTAGAGCTTGAATTTTTTTATTTTTTTTTCCATAACCATTATGTTCAAATCAAGATGATCAATGTAAAGGTTTTCTAATGCTTAAATTACAATTTCCGATGAGCTTAGAGGTATGACTTTACTTATTTTGATAGGGCTGCATCCCTATCAAACCATTTTGCTTATCTATTTATTTTGGAGCATGCAGACTTTTGCCCCATAAACAATGAGGTAAACGGCCATTCAGGTGGGTTCAAGTGCTTGAAGTTTGTCCCTAAAAAACCCAAACAAGTTTTAGGAACAAGTAGGGGACGCCTTCCTCGCTGATTTACCAAAGATAAAAAAGGAAGAAACTCGATTACCTCTCTATTTTTTCCCAACTTTCTCTGTCTCTCTTTCTGATCACCCCTTCTCTCGACGAAATTTTGCCAGAATTTTCCACTACAATTTGTTTTCACTCTCTCTCTCTATCTAATCATCCTTTCTCTCAACAAAATTTTGCCAGAATTTTCCACAACAATTTATTTTCACAATTTTGCAGGATCTACTGGCATCAATGGTGAATTGGGTTTTCTTCTAGGGTTTTCTCCTTTTTAGTAATGAAATATATGTATGTATACCAAAACCTCAGAGAAGCTTGATGAAACTTTGAAGGTTCATGCCAAAACCTCAGAGGAGGAACTCCACTCAAAAGATAAGATATACAAATATACAAGTTAAAGACATTTTTATATGGCCTAAAACAAAATTAGACACATTAAGTGTTTAACAATTTATAATGTTATCCTTGGACATGAAGTAAATATGCTACTTCATTGTGTGTATGTCTTAAGAATTGAAGTAACTTCACAATATTCTTATTGTATGTATATGATTATTGTTGGTTATAAAGAACTAGTCATTGTCGTTTTCTTACTTTTGAGATGAATGTCATACAATAGGGGAATTATGTTCTAAGAATAAATATAGTTGGAGATAAAATATCGATATATTATATTTGAGTCGAGAAAGATATCTTGATATAGTTTAATATGTGAAAGGAAAACATATATTGTCTATCATGTTAATAAAGAAGATGTATATTGTAATCAATATATATATGAGAAGGGTAGTTATAATATCTAGTATTTCATTGTAGGTGTGGGTATAATTTAGGTGTCCGTGATTTATTTTTATTTTTGTCATTGGAAATTTGTTTATAAAAGATAAGTTTGTACATTCATACAATTAATGGACACTAAGTCTCTTAAGAGAAATATGAGACTTTTCACAAAATATAGTGTAGGCCATGGAATTTGTTGGCCTAGATTTGAGCCATGTTGTATGCCTTGTCAATAAAAACTCCCAAAATGTTGACTATTTAAAAACAACAAAAATTTAAGGTACATTAAGGGGTTCAAATATCTTAATTTATGTTTTCCAGCAGATTAGCATGAAGCACTGGGATACTTTGATTCTTGAAGTAATGGAATACTTTGATGCTTGCTTTACTGTGGATATGGACATCGACAAATCTACCTCTGGCCATCTTTTTTTTCTTTGGACGTGCAACTGTTTCTTAGTTATAGCAAAAAAAAAAAAATGATACACTGCTTAATATACACAATCAACAAAGTAAGTTGCTTATTACATTGTTTTTACTTAGGCCATTTGGATAAAGCCTTTAATAGTGGATGAACTAGTTTAAATATATTGGGGAAATCAAACACCAATTAGATTAATAGCCCGTGTGGCACAAAATGATGCCACTACCATATTCAAGGCGTAGTTGAAAAGCATGAAATGCCTCAGTTATTTCCCATTATCTGACATGATTGCATACTCCTTAGTACAAGACGAAAAGTGGAATTATATTCTAATACTATTAGCATAAAGAAACTTTTAAACATATGTATATCCAAATTCTTGAAATAATCGTCATAAGTGACAAAATTTTATGCATTTAAAAAAAAATCATGATGAAAATTGCGGACATTTGTCTCATGAGGCACATCCATAAGAGTATGAGAGACGCCTCGTGATAAGATTTGGTCATAAATGATGTACCCAAAAAAGCCTTTCTTGATAAATTGTCGCATTTGGCCTTAAAAGGGGAGCTTGCATAACCTTGAGAGAGAACTTCATATGTGTTACATGTGTGTAGGACTCTCTGAAACATGTGAATGGTACTCAATGAAGTTGTGTAATAAGTGTGATCTCTGGTGTCATGTCTTCTTCGTTCATTCATTTATTTATTTATTCTTTTTTGTGTGTGAGAGAGAGTAGAATTCTTTAAAACATTTGGATGGCACTCAACAAAATTTTCTGTATAATAGGTTTGACCTTTTATGTTATGTTGTGTGTATGAGAGAGTGTAAAATTAGAATAATGAACTGTTCTAGAACTTATGATTTGTTTTACAAATAGATGGTCCAAATAAAGAATTTTACTATGTTTAGGCCTCATCCAGACAACATCTACCCAATGTTGCGAGATTTGTAAATCAAAGATATGAAACAAAACCAGCATATCCCAATACCCTGACAACCTATAACTATGTTTGCTTATCATTGTTTACGATTCTTTTGATAAATCAGTTTTCCATTTTCATTGCAACCTAACTAATACAATTCCTTCCTCTAAACACGGAACATAAAAAAATGCACATTCTTTATTTGTTTCTATTTCATTAGGAACGGGGTAACATATGTGTTTTAAAATGACGTCTTGAGTTTCATTCTTAATATGAGTAGATGACATCTTTCCCGTAATACTATCCAAAAAATATATAAAAAATCTAGTACTTAGCTCCGATTCTTAAAAATTTAGAACATTCCAAGCCCCCAATAATTCAATCTCATGTTGATGAAGAAACATAATACAATAACATGACAAAAAAAACCCATATTTTCTAACGACTAAGTACTTTAGCAGTACAAATACATGAATGTAGAGATCACATTTATTTGTTTTTCTTTTTTTGAATAATGGTGGGGGGTGGTCTAAGTTTACACTCCGTGTCCTCGAACCTCGAAGTCATAACATGGAATGCCCAGTCAAATTTGAGGGCAAGATAGTAATTGTTCACACTGGTTTCAGGCCGTGCTTGAGAGCTGCTTCCCAGACCAAGTCGATCCTGTCAACGGAGATGGCCCCCACCTCGTGGTGGGTCCACCCTTCTAGAAGGTGCACTACTCCCCCGGCGTGACACGCGTGCACGATCCCCCTCCCCATTGTATACTATAAATTACAAAATGTAAATAAAACTACGAAAGTGAGATCCAACGGTCCAGATCGTTAGTAGCATTTGAGCACATGTTTTCGGTGGCAATAGCGAATAGAGGTTCAACTTGAAATACAGAATCTGGCAATGGGCCGAGCTCGACACAGTTATAGGGCTTATCGGGAGCAATCGGCCGGGCCTTGAAGCCCTAGGCTGGTCTGGGACGGGTTGGTTGGGCCCAAACAATTTTTCTTTTAAATTTTTTTTAAAAAATTTTTGTGATAAAAATTAATTACCAAAAAGCAGTGCAAGTTTTAGAGGTATTTCAAAAATTTTCCTAAGCAAGAATATTTTTATTTTTATTTTTCACATGTGCCATTATTAGATATATACACATCCCAAAATTCACTACAAAATGATTTATGAAATAAAAATAAAAATAAAATACTTCGACTCATTGGTTCAATATGACACACAAGTGCTAACTTGTGATATTGTAACTGAATCCATCTCAACCATCCAAACATATCTCATCCAACCACATCTCAAAGCAGAAGTCACATGTATTTTAAATGTGGGTGGCACCACATGTAAAATTATTGCAGCTTTCAAGCTCGATTGTCAGTTTAAATGGCGGGACACTTATTTATATGCTCTTGTGGGCTTAAAACTCGATCTAGATCAAACAATTGATATTGAAGTGGCGATAGTGGCCCAAACAAAGATGCTATTGTTGTTAGCTCATTACCAATTATTTGATCATATAGAAAAGCTTTTGTCAAAAAGAAATTATTTGCCTCCAAAATCGTAGGTTCTTGTTTGTGTTATCAAGACAAGATAAGACCGTCTGATCCAACTGGTCAGAATCCAGACCAACAATGCCCTAGTTGGTTTAGGTCAAGGCAAAATATCGAGCTTGATTGAAAATTGATCAAAAAGTATCATTTGATTGGTTTTGCCTATGTTTTGGACAATTGGACTAGCTAAACAATTTTTTTTTTTTTGGTAATATATTTCATACTTTAAAAGAGTAATTCTTACTTTTTCTTTATTTTTCAGAAGAGTGAGTATAACTTCCTCCTGTTGAAGCATATACTATGACCTACTTGGGTGGATTGCATAAATATGATATGAAATTTGAAATCCACCAATCATTTGTTTAAACTATTATTTTTAATTTTTTTATGTTTTTAAATCTGATCTAAGTAATTTGACCGGCGATCAGACCGATTTTGCTAAGTCAAAAGGAGATTACCTCGCAGGTACCCAAGCCCTCTACATCGTCCGGTAAGTGCATTGCGGCCAACTTCCCATACGTGCAGTCCCTTCTCAACCTCAAGATGGGTGGGACCACAAATTGGTGGAAGTGGGTCCCACTGGGGGCCCACTTTTGTTCTCGTGGCAAAATCCATTTCCCAACTATCCATGTCTGTGAAAAAAGGAAACGAAACTTCAATGTTATTTCATGTGAATCCCAATTATTCAAAAATTTCGTGGATTATTTGGAGATTTCGTTGCGAAATTTCGGATTTCACCTTGCAGTTCTGGCCAGCCTGGTACTTGGTGACCTGGACCAGGTTCTTCTGGTACTCCACAGGTGCTTCCTTTTGTATTATCTGGAAACGTTCTTGGGAAAGAGTAAGCATCTGCCAAAGTTAAATGATAAACACTTCAATGTAATCCTGTCCTCCATTCCCACCGTTAACATAGCAAAATAAAAAATAAAAAAAGTGAAAAATTCAAAGGCAAACACAAATAAAAACGAATTGTGTTAATTGGAACACTCATGTGCTGCGAAGTGCTTTTCGGGTTGGATCACTAGTGACGAAGTGGGCCGGCTCAACACTTGCTGGGCTGAGGTCCCCTTTCGGATCCCCTGGGTTGGGTGTGGGTCCAAAAGTAGGACCAGCATTGGGTCAAAGCGTAAACCATATATTGGTATGTAATGAAATGGGAAAATTGTTTCATTCGGGCTGGACCACATTTCTACAATATGCGGTCCCAAGGTATAAAGGATCCATCTTAAGGATGGATGCAAGTAGGTGGTCCATCTAAAACAATTGAAACTAACTATCTAAATATATTTTTAGTAGAATTGTTATATTAATTTTTAAAATTTATTGATGTTTTCAAATTCATGATCTTCATGTTAGATATTACATGTCCTTAATAATTAAGTCAAAAAATCCATCTCAAGATTTTTAAGAGGTGACTCATTTCTACATTGACTCATAGAAACCGTGTCCTTCATAATATAGGTAGAAATGGTTAAATCATCTTAGAAAATCATTAAAATGGTCAAGTAATCCCATTTAATTTTAAGAAAACTCTTTTTAAGTTTCAATACACTACCTGTGCTACCTCCTTAAGAAATATAGTAAAAAATAACCAAATTACGAATATTTAAAATTAGAAAGCCCGAATATGTAGGAGCATTTGATAATTTGATCTTGCTTTTATTGGCCGAGCCAAATGACAATAGTACATCATGTTGTTTCAAATCAACAACTTGAGAGCATGTATCCATAAGAGATGAATTATTGAAAATACTACGTACTCGCAACTATTGGAACTCGAGATCATGTATTTTTATAGGCATTTTGAAATTAAATGGAAAGATATAAATAAAGTGTTAAATTATTCCTCTTTTATAGGTAATTTGATAATTTTTTTTTTTAAAAATATCATTAATTTCTTACCAGGACGCGAACGCCTTTTCGAGCAAGATAGAGGGCTATAGCTCTCCCAAGCTTGGAGGTGGAACCCGTTAGAAAGACCTCTTTAACACCGTTAGGGAGCTCATTAAGGATAACGGCCGCCGTTAAGGTGTTTCCATGGACTACTTTCACTTTGAGGTTGCGGTGCTTTTGAACGTAGATAATGCCACCACCATTTAAGGCTTCATTCTAGAGAGAGAAACAAAATCAAATTTAAAATTACAAGACTAATTCATTGAATTCTCAATTCTCAGCAATAAAATAAAATAAAATGAGTACGGTTTGTATAAAGCCGAGGCTCTAAACAATCAAAATAAAGTGCATCTTCAAATAGTATTGAGAAATGTGGTTTCAATACTGAAAATCTTTGTGATAACTTTAAAATACATTTTCGTCTCTAATTATAAAATTTCAAAAATATTGTAGATTGAACAGATCTATAAAAATATAAAAATCTTGAAATTGACCATCTCAAATGCATTACATGATGCACTATTTCCAAAACTTGAAAATCTTAAAACAACTACTTCCAACAACAACAACAAAAAAAAAAGCACCCCAATTTTGTTACTTTTAGCCTATTTTGAAAGCGCATTTTTTGTTGGATATTGGTTGTTTAGAGAGAGAAAAGTACAAGGAATTTGAATTTTACCTTGTTTAAAGCTGCAAGGCTGATGACCTTCACGCCAAGTTTGTCCGCACTGAGAATGGCATCTTCAATGTGCTTATTAATTCCATCCTTGGCAAATGGCAAGAAGTACTGTGCCCAATTGAAGAGAGAGAATAAATCCAAATTTCATGGAAAGGATGAAAGCGACATGAGATTACATCCGCATCGTACAGGTACAGCTTGCCCATTAGAGAGAGAGAAATATGTTTAAATTGTTACCCGTTAAAACAGAGGGAGGCCAGAGTCCCGCATGTTGTATGATTAGGGGTGGGAGTTATTTCACACCAATTATATACGGATTGGTACGAAGAAATGCATTGGGACCAATTGATGCAAAAAAACTCACCACTTGATCACATGAAGAAGTTCTTTCATGTGAAATACTTTCACAAAAATATTTCGATGTGTACCAGGCATATTCTTATATATTTCGAAGTATCTTAGTATTAGGTAGGATTTATTGGATAGCATGCACGCAAGTTGTTTGTATGACTTGGATTCAACCTAAATATACTCCATTTTCCAAGTTTTCGTTGATCTACTCCTAAAATTTTCGAAGGAAAAAGATGAACATGGCAATTGGGAGTTCGGACAAGGACTCCAACTTAGGCCAAGTTTTTGTTGATAGTCTCTAGGTTTCAGAGAGGGACCCCTAGGCTCACGGGCCAACTTTAGCGGTCCAAGCTGGGACAACTGGCCCATTGCCAGAGAGTGGTGATTTATGGATTAAGAGAGAGGAGAAAAATTGAGTTTTGATTATAGATATAAAAGTTATATAAATTTTTTGGGTAGTTCAGTAGGAAGGGGTCCCTATGATAGGACTTGAACTCAAGACTTTACGTTTACACCTAGATTTTCAACACTTCAAAAGAATTTAATTCAGCCCAAGAAGTATAGGTCCCCGCTTGGGGCTGGACAGTAGCCTAGTCAGGGCACTGGTTCGGACTACAGTCAATGATACGTGTTAATCTTACTCCTCTTTTCCTATTTTTAAAGCGTGTGTTTCAAAACACGGATTGTGAGGTGGATTGTCCACCGTACATATTCGTGTTGGATTGATGGATTGGCTCTCTCGATTGGTTTGAAACTTTGGATAGGTCGAAATCAAAGCTTTCGAAATTATTAAAAATAAAAAAGATAAAGTAAAAACTAAAATAAGGGTTTATGAGGTAGTGGTTTAAAAAAGACCTAAAAAATATTAGATAAGTTCATAAATAAAATAAATATTGAAAGGGGGATTTAAGGTGGGAAACCAATATGGAACCGATACCTTCTCAAAAAACGATCGGTCCCAAATGAATCCCAATCTAAATCAGTGATTCTCAATCAAGATCGTTGGGTTTTAAGACACTGCTCAAAACTAATTGGGAAAGGAAATAGCAAGAAGCACATATTTCAATTCAATAAAACAAAACCAAAAACGTACACGGGTTTTGCCAGTTAGGGGAGGGTATTTAATACATATCAATCCTTCTATCTCTTTACTCACCCAAAAAAATCCTTCTACCTCTTTCCTATCCCCAAGTTTCAATGAAAAGGGTAACAGTATTTAATTCTATGAAATAAAACAAAATATAACATGTAAGAGACGTCCTAATGAAATAGATCAATCCTTCTCCCTCTTCTTTCTTCAATTCACATGAGATATTTCAATAAAAAGATTAGGAAGATAAAAGCCGAAAAGTATATAAGGAGGCCATTTACTTTTGATACTAAAAGATCACAATTATTCTTATCCATCAGGTTTGAAATCAAGTGGTTGAGAGTGTGTCATTGACTAGGTTCAAACTTCAAAAAAAATTTCTAAAACTTTGTGATACATTCCAAGCCATCCAACTTGACACTTGATGGCTAAGAGTAATTGTGACTTGCTTATAGCGAAGATAAATGATATCATAATATACTATCCCGTAACTAGAAAACTCATACCAAATACTTAAAGAAAGAAAATTTACGAAAAAGGACTTTAGAATTCCTAGAGCTAGAAAGCCAAAATTATCGTGAGTCTTTCTTATTAGGGTGCGGTTTGTATTGAGCCTAGGCTCTAAACAATAAAATTAGAACCTGTCTTCAAATAGTGTCGAGAAATGTGTGGCTTTAAAATATATTTTCATCTTTATTTATAAAGTTTAAAGCTTCAAAAATAGTGTAGATCGATAGATCTATGAAAACTTGAAAAACTTGAAAATCTTGAAAATTGACAGCCCAAAATCGTGTTATAAAATATACTACTTTCAAAACTTGAAATCTATTTTTTTTTTGATGTTGAGATGATCAATTTGAGGATATTTGGGCATCAAAATAACTTCTTCTAGTGAAATTTTTGAGATAGGCTCTAATTTGATTGTTTAGAGCCTTAACTCCATATAAACTTTTCCTTTCTTATAATATGTCAAAAGAAAAAGAAAAATCAATCTTCTAACGCCTCACGGGTTACACAATTCATAAAAGTTATCATGATCAATGTGATGCAAGCACGGACACGGATCTAAGGTGATTTATATATATGGATGGGGTGGTTTGGTGCATCTCTATTCAAATGTTATCTCCTTTTAATAATCTATCTCAGAGAAGGATTTTGGATCTAAAATTTCGCAAGTTCATAATGGCAATCATGAATATAAGATAAATTGATTTCGAACATAAAAAATAAAACGTTTTAAGCTTTATTTATGGACCGTTCATTTTAATTCTTGTAGATCTTCTACACTATTTTTAAACTACAAAATCATAATTTTAAATCCATCTAAAATAAACTAAGGATGTGTTTCAAATCCTAAATTCATTTCTAGGATGGATTTTTAAAAGTGGACATATTTGAACAAGAACATACCAAAACTTACAGAGAAAAGAGAGGGAAGGAGAGAAATAGAGGTTTTTTTGGTGGTCGATGTAGCTTTCATTTTCTAGTAATAATGTAGTCCCCTTATTTATTTATTTTTAGGTAATTTAGTAGGGACCCCTACCTATTTTTTCAAATAGATTAGGGAATTAGCTATTTGCAAAGTGTCAGTAGGGGATGTCGGCAGGATTGGAAATTACAATATGGTAACTAGGTATGAGGGTGCTACTACCACGACCCAGCCCCTTCCTATTTTTGCACTTGAAAAAGTTGAAAATTGCAAATTTTACCATCCAGCACCTATATATGGTAAATGCTCCCCCACCTTAATAACCACACTCCACTTAGTACAAATATATTTCATTTAGCATTATAAACTAGATTATAGTTAGCTCACTCTTTAAGTTATCTTAGTTTGGGACATCAAAGAGTTCAATTATAGAAAACTAGAGCTTGGCCTGACTATTTAATAAGGATATATGAAATTTAACATTACAAAAAAAAAAGGATATACTGAAATTTGTACACAAAGAAAAACAATGTGTGGTACTAGCTCTCTACTTATAAGTGAAAATTTAAATGAGGAATTATTCAAATGCAGTTCCCTCTCAAAGATCTATCTTATTAATGAATTTAGAAAGTCAGAAAAGATGCATGGCCAGTTTAATTTCGTGATTTTGTAACTCAAACAATAGTGCAGATCTAATGATCCATAATGGCCTCTATGATTTAACAAAAAAAAAATTTAAAATAAGTTTCGAAACAATTTTTCTCAAATTCATGATTGTGTAGTTGAGACTATCAACAAGAGAAAACTGTGTGATTCTTAATGTGTTTTTGAAAGAGACAGCGCTTGTATAGGTGCATCAAGCTATTTCTTCCTGACTAAGTACGTACACATGCACCAAAGCCCCATTCATACCAGCCACATTAGTAATAACATGAAAAACTATAGAATGATCCATATGGTCATGTCCACACCATGACCATATGGATGGTGAAAGGGAAAGTGGGATTGAAGAACGACATGATTCAAGGCCCACACGCTCTCGACTACCATTCAATCCATTGATGAGACAATGATAACCTCTAAGTCATCTCGTTACCACGACCACATGGATCATATTATAGGAAGAGTATACAAAGAGACCATTTAATTTTGATACAAAAGGGTCACAATCATCATTGATTTGAAATTGGATGGTTGAGGATGTCTCATTGTTCAGGCACATACTCCAAAATAAAATTCCCCGAAATATTTTCATGCACTTTCATCCATTAGATTTCACATCTAATGGGTAAAAATGATTGTGACATCCTTGTACTAAAATAAAAAATAGTCTCATAGTATAAAATCCTCACATTATATTAGCCCACAAAGAAAGAAAAATAATCAAATCCTTTTTTATATTTATTTTTTGGGGCCTACCTGAAAACCGAACCTAGGGATCACCCAAGTCTGATGAAGCCTATCTCTTAAGGTGTAGAAGGAGATCAGAAATGTGGTCGCTGAGGCCCACATAAATAGCATGACAACGAAAACGACGGGCCACGTTGGCAGCAGAATGGGCCTGAAAACACAAGGCATGGAGCTGATGGAGCGAAACAAGAATGAGACGTGCAAAGCCGAGTCAAACTCGATAACGTGGCCAAGGAATACAAAGTCTGGCACCTTGTCACCGCAACCTGCATACATATATCGTGAGCCCTAACAATGCACTATCGATGACCCATTAATACAAAGTTAGGTCTCACATGTTGTGCAAAAATTAGGGTTAGGTGTGGGGTAGGATGTATGGTAAGGGCTTAGTGATGAGAAAAGTTAGGGTTTCGGGCGTGAGAGTGAGAAATGATCCAATCAACATAGAGTTGGTATGGCGTGTTGGAGAAAAATTAGGGTTTGTTTTGGGCTCGGTGACGAGAAAATTAAGGTTTTGGGGTTAGAGAGAAAAGATTGGGCTGGGCCTCACCTGAGCCCGGCCTAGGTCCTTGCAGGGCTGAATGGGCCTGTCATAGCAAGGCCTACTAGATTCTTTTAAGGAAAAAACAAAGAAAGAGAAACCATTGGGCGGGGCATATGTGGTAAGGCCCGGCTTCCCTAATTTGTGGCTCAGGTTGGGATAAGTTGATTGGTCAAGATATGCCTCTCAACTCATTGCCAACCTTAAGGCAGATAAGCAAAGAACTCGTGTTATCATGATCAAACCATCGGATCGATGAGGAGTTTGGTCTAGACAAAATCGGGCTGCGGTTGAACTAAACTTGACTAGATTAAAAAAAATATAAATGAAGGAAAACATGAACAATGGTTTAAAAATATATAGCATATTTAAAAGAAAGAAAGAAGTTGCCTATTTTATTTGGCCAATTGAACCGGTCAAACCAGCCATTTAAACTGATAAAAAATAATCTAACACTAATTTTGATTAAATTTTGATCAAACCCAATTTTTATTTTGGACCAAATTGGCTGTTGGTGACAGGCTGGGCTCGAATGAGGTATGGCGTGTTGGAGAAAAATTAGCGTTTGTTTAGGGCTGGGTGATGAGAAAATTAAGGTTTTGGGGTCAGAGAGATTGTAGGGCTAGCAAAGGGTCGGGCCTCATCCAAGCCCGGCCTAGGCCCTTGTAGGGCTGAACGGGCATAAACAAAAAGTTAGGTCCCACGTGCTGTTGGTGTGAAGGCTGGGTTTAAGGATATAATACATGGTTAGGGCTGATAGGACGAGATAATTTAGGGTTTCGGGGTTAGATAGAGACCTGATCTGACAGTCCTGTGGAGGTCCCATGACTTGGGGTTTAGAGTGTTGAAAAGTGCGTCGTAAATGGGCATAAAGAGGCAAAAGTTGGTGCTTTTTTCGTTGTGGTGGAGGCTATGGTACCTGCACATGGCAAGATCGTTGTGAGTAAATGAGAGAGAGAGAGAGAGAGAGAGAGAGAGAGAGAGTGAGTATTAATTCTAGTAGGAGAGAGAGAGAGAGAGAGAGAGTAGTATATTATAGTAGTAAGGAAAGTAGTGTATAGTAGAGAGAGAGAGAGTAAGTAATTACGTAGTAAGTAAGGAAGTAGTAGTAATAAGTAGTTAAGTA